AGGAGGCCAATTTGAGCAGTAGTGTATAGTGTATACAATCTCGAGAGACCAAACACGCATTGAATCTTATTATGTAGGCTCTAGTCCTGCTGTTAAAGCCTAATATATATGATCACGGAAAAGGTCGCTGAGAGCTAGGAGGAAGAGAAGAATGTGAAGCTATGGTGATTGGAGTAACAATCAAAAGTCAAAACTTCTTGCCCTATATAAGGAAGATGGTCAACGGTCCCACCGTGAGTCTAAGAATAATGAGAATAGGTGCCAACCTATCTCAACAGAGCTGTTATTTCATCATCATCATCATTTTCATTTACCCCAGTGCCGCAAAGGCTCCCACCTACGGTGGGGTAGGGGGGGTCGGATGTACGCAATCTTACCCCTATACTAAAGCACAGAGAGACTGTTTCCGGATGACCCATAGTGAAAATCGCGTCCAAAATTGCATGGACTGACTGCTTCTTCATTACAAAGAAGCGCAGACAGTTTAGTGAGCCATTTTGCTTTATTCCATCATAATCTCAAGCCAAAAAATAATGAATCTTTGGCTCCATTGCAAATGATGGAAATAAGAGCTGTTATTTCATAAGATAATAATATTTTTTATTGTTTTATAGATAAGTGATGACATTATTATTTCACAAAAGCACTAAAGTAGAGCTTAAAGAGTTCAAAATTTATTTAACATATTGTGTTGTTGCTTACTCATCATATATTTTAAACATGAAGGCTATAATTTTATCAAAGAACAAGATACGAAACTGGCCTAGTTCAATCTTGATGTCACTGTCCAGACTTGCATGTTTGAAATTGGATAACAATCCTCTAAGACAGGTAATTGCTTTAAATTCTGGAATTTTTGTTGTTCCCAAAGCAAAGAAATACAATGCTCCCCTTTTTATTTAATCTGTAATATTAGTACAGTTTTTTATATCTGTAGCAGTAGGATAATGATTCCAATTGTAGAAGACATTATTACTATTAAAATGATACATGAGTTTTTTTCCGGATTAATGCTAATTAATTCATTAATTACGAAATTAGGGCTGGGTTAAAAGTTATTACCTATATACTGCTGGGAGTAACCATGGTCGGGCAAAGTCGCCAAACCGTTTGGCGACTTATAAGTCGCCATCCTGTGTGGCGACTTATAAGTCGCCAAACCGTTTGGCGACTTATAAGTCGCCAAACGGTTTGGCGACTTTGCCCTTCCCCAAAAACATTAACACCCAAACTGTCCTAAATGGATCCCGATAAATGCAATTCACCGTTTAACGACTTACCGAACACATACAAAACACAATTTGGTAGAAATGATACAAAGCGACACACCTGCTCAAAAATACAATATAAAAACAGCGTGTAGACATCCGATATGCATAACCAAACACATCAACACTTCATAAACAAATGACAAAATACTAATAACACAATATCCATTAGTTTGAAGGTAAAAATATGTAAAAAAAGTGAAGTGTTTCTACAACATTTGGTGTACATGATTAAGTTCAATAATAGAGAGACTACAAGTTTTCATGGTCTTCTTGATTCTTCGTCATGGAGTTGTGGTTGTTGACGCATACGCCTACGCCGCTGTCGTGGTTGAAGAACAACTCTGTCCCGCTGAGTCTGAGATGTAGAACCCACCGCTGCTGCTGATGATGTTGATGCCATATAATCTTGAGAGGGGGTCATATGTATAAGATGTCCATAGTTCACTCGGCCCAACACATCTGAACACAACGAAGCGATGCCCGTCAGAACCTGACCGTACATGTCCACGTCATGTGTATCATTAACTGAGGTAGTCGCTCGCTCATGTATACGCTGCAATGCCCGTGTCTGAAATGTGAAACATGAATTATAATTATTTTTTAAATAAATAAAATCTTAAATAAAGAACATGAAATACTTTTGTAATTAGTAGCACACTCACCGTCAAGTATAAAGCCATGGAACTAGGCTGGTAATGGTGATTAGGGAGTCTGAAAGAAGGAGAGACAAACAGACGTGTGATGCTGTAATACACTAATACCATCTCATGTAGCCTACACAAACAGATGGGACGAATGTAGGCGTCCCAATCACAACAAGCTCTGCTCGCCTCTCCCACACAGTGATGTATCTAACATGTCTGAGCGACCAATCTTCTGTAGGCTTCCCACGCCTATCCAGCTTATGGAGATTTACACATGTGTCGACAGGTACTGGAATGACCTGCTCATAGCCAAATGAAGCTCAACAATGTCAAAAAAGATCAACGAGACACGTGCTCGCCATATATCATAGTGCTCTCGTCCTTTCGAGGCTAACTCCTCTAACATCTGGGCTGTATATGGCATCCATGTAATCTGTTTGAAAAGTAAATAAAATTAGTCTTACTGCTTTTCATATGATAGGTAATTTATATGATGTGCAACAAACCTGAGCATCCGACATGCGATCAAATGCATCTTTATAGAAACCGAGTCCAGTAGCCGATGATGTGCGACAAAGATCAGCAAATAGCCATCTAACCGTTCATGTAGTACATATTAATATAAATATAATTCATATAATTATTCAGAACATACATAACATAAATATAGTCTTGTAAAACATACCGACGCCCCAGAGGGTCCTCGCCCCATCGATGATGTGGTCCAAGGAGACGTGGAGGCTGATCATGAAGTGGGAGTCCATCTAGCCCATGGTATCGTGATATAATGGGACGCCCAATGTGAATGTACTCCCATGACCAAAACTGTAACAAAAGCAAAATACCCCCAACCTCCGTGCTCCCACTCTGACAACCTCGACAAAGCTGCCTATAAAGATACGTTAGAGTGGCACTACCCCAACTGAATTGTCCAGCTACATCAAATATCTCTAGCATCGGCAATGGCAACATCTGAACCTCATCCCCACTCTTGTCTGCAAAAATGGAAGCTCCCATCAACATCAAAATGTATGCTCGTGCATGCTGCTGAATCATCACCTCATCTGCCTCTGGAGGAATAACAACAAAATGCTCCCTCAGCCATGACATCCTTAGGGATGATCCACGAATCTCTGTTCGGAGAAGGGGGTGAACACCCAACAATCGCTCCACATCCTCAACCCATGGCCGACATGCTGTACCTGTCACCGCTCTCCCATGGACTTGTAAGCCAGTCAAAACGGCCACATCTCCCAAGGTCACTTTCACCTCACCAACTGGGAGGTGAAATGTGTGAGTCTCCTGCCTCCAACGCTCAAGAAGAGCGGTGACTAGAGCTCTATCAAGTGGGACAGTAGCCACCAATCTGTGTACACAAAAAAACCGGCAGCTCTAACATAAGCTAAAACTCTATCGTCCACCTCCACGTGGGACAAACTACGGAGGTGCCCTCGACACCTATCAACTTGCACATCCACGCCACACCACACGTCCTCAGTCCTATGTGTGGCCTGCAATGTAAGGACAGAAGGATCAATCGGTCCTGGATCCGCTGCCACCTCCATAGTGCCTACAAAAATTGGGAAGTTGGAGAAATCCATATTCTAATAACAATATATAATGATAATTGATGAGTTCATATTAATATACACACTTTATACAAACAAAACCACACCTAACCAAATCAAAACATTACACAACAAATTCAAAATATTACATTGAAGTCAACATTAAAATTCAACATTTCATACATATTCATATTTCACAACAACTCAATTCACATATCAATTCCAAATTTAAAAATTCGAATTTTATTCTTAGGGAGTGTTTGCTATTGCTTCTACTTTAAAAAAGTGATTTTGGAAAAAAGTGCTTAATAGTAAAAGTTGGTAGTGTTTGAGAAAAAAGTGCTTTTGAAAAAGTAAAAGTTGACAGTGTTTGGTAAAAAAGAAATGTTGTTTGTGTAATAGAAAAAGTGAAAAGAGGTTTAAAGCACCCCCACCCCTCCACCTGCTTTCATCTTTTAGCTTTTAAGTGCTTAATTTAAGCAGAAGCTATCACTTGAAAACACTTGTTTCAATATTTTAAAGCCAAAATTTGAAAAGCACTTTTTTTAAGTTTTTGTTAACACTCCCTTAATTAGTTGTCATTTAGAAATTCAGAGTATGGATGTATCACATTTTCCTAACATTACCCTTCTTTACTCAACGATTATGGTGCAATTTCGCACCTCATACTTAACATGTGCGCAACACATCAACCTGAAATATATTGTGGGACAGGGCAATTGCTATTAATTATTAGCATATAGTGAATTGACCATGTTTTCACTTGAAATATTCTTGGGAATAATGGGATGTTCTCCATACTTAAATTTGTAAATTTGACCAAAGTTTTTTTACGTAGGGCCTGCCCTCCTGTTTGTTTGGCCTAGATGTAAGTGCTCAATCTTATGTTTAATTTGTAACATGGTTTGCATAGATACCATCAGATGGCTTCCAAGCTGTGCCAAAGCTTCAAATTCTAGACCTAACTGGCAATATAGGCTCTTTACCAGAAAATCCAGCATTTTCTTGCATGCCAAACTTGCAGGAGCTTTATCTGAGGTCTGCTTATTGGAACTTTTAACTATGATGTATATTCAGTGCCACGGTGTTCACTAATCTTACTTTCTCTGCGTAACTGAGCAGAAGGATGTGTATATATGTTGTTCCATCTGATATAATGAGCTTGAGGTGTTTAAGAATTCTTGATTTGAGCCAAAATGCCCTTCAGTCAATTCCTCAGGTAGCATCTTTGTCTATTTTAAATAAAAGACTTGCGTCTGAGTCAAGTATTGGCCCTTTGTGATTAAATGTATTTTCCTTTTCTGTTTTGGTATTAGTTTGGACTTTGGGCTCTATAATTTTTCTCTTGGTCACAAAAGGATAAGGACTTCTATGATGTGTCTACTTTTGCGTATAGATCAAGCTGAAAAAACCTGTAACCTAGACTAGAATGTCAAGCTGCTGTTTCAATCCGTAGATATCCATAGACGCGTATAAACATTAGATCTTAACCCTGTTGTGATAAATTGGCTTTCTCTGCAGGGAATGAAAGATTTGAGTTCTCTTACGGAGCTGGACCTTTCAGACAATAATATTTCTACACTTCCACCGGAGCTGGTTAGCATACATAGCTTGCATATCCTGAAATCCATGATTATTAGTTTCCTGAACATGCGTGTCTTAGAAACCGGGCAATAGTTGAAATCAATTACATTGCTTGCTTAAGGATTTAGTTAGAAGTAATTTTTTTACGGTATACCTTTTATTTACATTTATGTTCCCATTATCTCAAATCTCAAGGCCATATGATTAACACCATTATGAACACCTTAATGCCAACTTATGTTTCTGTACATTAACTAATTCTTTTTGTGGAAAATTTTCCTTTAGGGTTTACTGGAGCCTTGCTTGCAAGTGTTGAAAATAGATGGCAATCCATTGAGGAGGTACATTATTTTGCTCTCTGGTTTTTCACATCCTAATTATCACAAATAGCATGGTCAATTAACATTATTTTTTAACCTTTGCCTCAGCATCAGAAGGACAATTTTGGATCGAGGAACAAAAACTATTTTGAAATACTTGCAGGACAAAATTGTACAGCATTGACAATTCTAATTTGGTTGAGATCCTCATTTAGCTTTACCTTTTGGACAAAAGGGTGAAAAAAGAACTCTGTATCTATAGCTTATAATCTTTTATGACCGTGTTTGAAGCCTCACTTTTTGACTGGCAAATGAAGTAAGAAATGTGTGTTTGAGATTGTCCGAAAGACACCCATTGTATAAACCACTTGTGGTTTCCTAAAAAGGAAAGAACTAAGGACTAAATATGGACTGGGGGAATAACGTCACCAACTACTAAAAAATTAATCTACTTTGTACTTTGTATTTTTTACATGGGATAGTTTTTAGAAACGGAGTATTATTGATGCAAGAGTGTTTGAAATACTATGAAAGTTCATTGTGAGAATACTATGTCTCATTGCCATTGGAATGCGATGAACTGAATTTCATGACGCAACGGTACGGTTAGGAGGTAATTTGATAGTTGATAGTGTTTGACAGTGGATTGTAATTACTAATTTGATGGCACATTGTGTTTAATGTTTTGACATGTAAATGGTATTAGTGGCTTTTAAAAAATTGTTGGGAAAAACTGATTTACTATAGTTTGCTTGTAGAATCACTAATAGTTTGAGGGCTTATTTGCTCCTCTTTAAAGAAAGTTAGAATACTGTTATTAGGGTCGAACAAAATGTCAATAAAATGTAATTGACCTATCGTAATTGAATCAACGAAATCGAATTGATTTTAATCAAATTTTGGCGGTTCAATTCAGGGTTAGAGATTTAAGCATTGAAAATTAATTGAAGTGATCAAAACGAACTAAAATCCACGTCAAAATCGATCAAAACTGCTCGAAAATGACCCAAAACTGGTTAGAGGAATTTGGTAGGTTTTTGGGCTTATATTTTTCAAATAAAATCAACCTAAATCGAATTGATCAAATACAAAACGGACAAGAGTTAATTTACCCGGTAAAAGTTATTTGTTGAGGACGCTTAATGATCCTGTCGCCAAACGCTTCCCGTGCGGCCTTAATCGATCGCTTCTTCTCTCCCAAAATTATGCAAATCCAGAAATGGGCAGCTCTGCAGCATGGAAGCACCATCTTCTTAACTCTCTGAACTCTAATTCTCATCTCAAGCACTCCATCTACCTTCAACTTGTAAATATACACACAATGATGCATTTCATTTCCCTCGTTCTCTGTTTTTTTAATAATAATTTCAACTATTCTCTCTCAGGCAACAGTTGCACCAAATGGCAGGCCATCAAATCGCACCGTCGTCTTCAGGCCTGTCTCGCAGAAACTCCATTCATATTTCTTTAATTTGTTGCACTCGCACTGCTCATTTTTTAGCTTGAATTGGTGTTGACTTTGTTGGGGCATTTTCTTTCAGAGGCTTTGCAGATAATAGTGATAAGATACAAATCAACACTGACTCCAGATCTAGGAAGGTTCTCAAAACACTCTTCTAGCATTTTTGTGCTTTGATTGATGAAGCATTGGCATGAATCTTTTCTTAAAATTGAATTGGTGCAGATCGAAGATATAAAGTACTGCCCATTTGCTGAGGTACCTAAGATCGTAAATTTTCTTCCAGAGATGTTTTGTATGAAAATTTGTGCTTTCGTTTGTGTTTGAGAGCCCGTTTGGTAACACTAAAATTGGCTGAATTGGCTGATTCTGCTGAAATTTATGAAGTTCTGGCTGAAGTGGCCGTATTGGTTTATTCTGCTGATTCATGAAAAAATTACATTTAAAATATTTGTTATTAATAAATTAAATAAAAAATTATATGAAAAAATAGCTAAAATGATTCTCTACAGTAACTTCAGTCAATACAGCCAGAAAAGTAACTACAACCTTACTTTTTCTGCTTATTACAAACTTCAGCGCACGAAATCAAAAGTTACGTGTTTGGTGAAAAAGCTGGCTGATAAGCCTCATAAGCCGAAAAAAGGGTTACCAAACGGGCTCTGAGTTTCGATAGAAAGATTGGGACTGGAGAAGAATTTATTTAGACAATTGATTGTATAAATTGTCTTGAAAATTGTATACCAGTATGGTGGTAAATTTGTAATTTGCTTATCTTGAAAAGTTCTACTCCCTTCGTATCACATATGTGTCTCAGCCGTCTTTTCACGTAGTTTAAAATAATTAATAGATTTTATTATACATTTTTTAAAAAGTAAGAGATTTTTTGTATGGTAGCAATATTGTATACTTAATTAAAGTGTAATGTAACTACTTTTGGAATGAATTCTTTCAAAAAATGCAAATGTGAGAAATATTGTAATACAACCAAAAAAGAGTACGTGACACATATTATAATACGGAGGGGGTACTATACATTTTTATGCTGCTGTTCCTTGCAATCAACAATGTGCTAAGTTGTGATGTTTCAGATATGCTGGTATTTTACTGATTCATGGGAGCAGTATCGAATAAATGGGAGAATTCACATCATTGATGCAACAAACCCCAATCCAGATAAGCTTCAGGTGATGCAGGAGAACATGGCATGCTCACATTTAGCACCACTTAGCAATTTTTTTTATCAAACACTACACTTTTGATTTCACACTTTGAAATAGTTAAGTCTGACAGCTGAATGGGCTTGTCGAAAATGACCGCTTTAGCTTCATTTTGTTAATAAAATACTTCATATATTTTAAAAATAACTTTTCTATAATCCAACCAACTAAGGTGTTATTTTTAGTAGTTCTAATAGATTCAACCAATTCAGTGTTGCCAAACAGGCTTTGAGTTTGTGTTGCCTGAATGAATTACTCTAGATGCTAGATCAATACAATTTTATGCGTATCTCGAAAAATCAATGAAACAATCCTCCTCCTCAGTCCTCACATTGAGATGGACTCTTTTTCTCCAACTTCATTTAAAAAATCAATGAATTCCTTTTCACTGATTTCAATTGGTGTTTTGGGATGGTATGCAGCAAAGAGAGAGAGCATGGCTTGATAGCTCAGTTAGATCAAGACTTCAGTATTTGGGGCCCTCCCCTGCTGCAATTCCTTCTTTGAAAGATACATCATTTCAGGAGCCTTCATTGGATCCTTCTACTGGTCCGGTAGATGCATTTTGCCTTCTAGTTTTGGATCCTGAGCAGGTGAAGTCCTGTTTATTGAATAAACTTCTTCTCATCACGCCACAATGATCACCATTCTTGGTTAAAGTTAAGACTACTATTTGCTCACAGGTTGATTTCTTGAATTTGAGGAGTAATAAAAGGATCACATTTGCTTCCAGATGCAGCAGCATCAATGGAGAGAAAATTTGGACATCTACTGAGATCAACCCGTGATTGAAGTCTTACCAATTTGAAAATCTGGACATGGACTGTTCAATGTTGAACACTTAGCCGTCAGTAATGTGGATTACAAACTGAATTCGGTAGTCCGTTGTATTTTTGTGTTTGAAATGCTTTCATATATTGAGTGGAACTCTTCAACAGAATAAATGTTTGTATTTTAGAACAAGTTGGGTTCGACAACATAACAAGCCTTATTAATAGATTTCCTGTATCTTTTTATAATTTTTTATCTTGTCATTTCATTAATACAAAATCTATCTCCCAGAGAAACACTGAATGATTAATTTCACTCAGTTTTAATTTAGAGTAGACAATAGAGTTATGCAACCAACATTAATATTTTTCTAAATAGATTGCCAAAGAATTAGAAAGGGACTAAAAAATATTTTACAGTCATAATAATAGAAAAAAGGTGTTTTCAATCCACAATGCTATCGTATAAAAGATAACCTAAAAAAACAATCAAGGACCAGACAGATGAAAAATCAATATAGATTCAAATGATTGAAAGTATCAATCTAAGAGTTAAAATACATGAATTTTATTTTAAATATTTTAAGTACTACTTAATTTTAATAAACCAATAAACTTCTGTAAAGAAAAATTCATCCAAATTAACAATGAAATAATAAAGTAACTGAAGAAATAAAAATCTATTACGGAGTATATTTTAAATCTTTGATTGATAGTTGCTAACAGTTAAAGTTTTCCAAATATATCTTTTGGGTATTGAATTGAGAACACTCCAAAGAAAATAACAAACTAACATCAATTTTATAAAACAAGGTGCTACCGATTCACATATCTCATAGAGTTCACCCATGCAGTGTGAGCAGTGAGTGAGTGGCATAAGCATCTTACAAAAAAGCAAAAAGATAAAAAGAGAAACATGCAAGTAAACGGCTGCAGTAGTCAATGAATATAACAGCAGCAGGAGGCTTGAAACATTCAAAGCAACGCCTACGCAGATGAATAAAGGAGCGGTCCTTGAAGAGAATCAGGTGACTTCAGATACTCTAGCACAGGAGTCAACTTCAGTCCAATAATTTGAACTTGTGGGTTAGAGTGGCCATCCAAGAACACATTTGTAACCTGGGTACAGCCAAACAACTTCAGGACTTCAAGGGACAGGCAGCTATCTGCAATCAAACCTAGGGCTTCATCTGTGAGGGTGCGACACCAGGACACATCTAAACTCTGCAAATTTCTACAACATTTCGCAAGTGCCATTGCAGTGTTGCATGAAACCTTTCTGACACTATTGAGGGATAGTTCTTTCAAGGAATTTCCACGAGTTTCGAGATATGCAGCAATAGCTTCATCGCTGAATGCATTACGGCAAAAAATTAGCTTGGTAACTGCTTTACAACTATTAGCAAGATAACCAACAGAGTAGTCCGTCAATTTGCTTAAGTTACTCAGATCTATTGCACTCAATCTATGACAAAATTCAGCAACAGCTTTAACTGAACGATCAGTCAATGTTATGCAGTCCTTCAAAATAAGCTCTCTCATATTCTGACCACGTCTAGAGACAAACTCAACAACAAATTCATCACATACTGTGTTGACACCAGCAACTGACAAAACCTCTAAATGCTCAAGTTTTAACAATGATGGAAGAACCAGAGCACTGATTGCTTGGCAATCATCTAAATACAATTCCTTTAAAACTGACCCCAATGAGTCGGACAAGCAGTTGATTCCATCAGAAGAAAGCAAAGAGCACTGACCGAGATTTATTGACCTTAGCGAAGGTGCAGCAGAAACAAGAGCACGTAGTCCAGAATCCGATAACCGACAGCCACCTTTCAAAGATATATTGGTTAGAGCAGGCAGACTGTTTGGCAAACGAGCTAAAGTAGCTAAAAGTGCATAATCTGGCAAACAACGACCACATTGATCAAGTTGTAGCACTGTTAAGTTGCTGGTTATACACTC